CAGAAATCAGTATAATATGCTGATTTGCTGCTCAAGAAACATTTCTGATTGCTATGAATGCTGAAAACTTTTTTTTGCTGCTTCATATTTTTGTGGAAACCAAGCTCGTTTCCGCCATGGAATAATAAAAAAAAAGTTATTGCAACTTTTCTTCTCCAAATTGTACATTTAGGTCTTGCGACTGCAATTGTGTTAATTTGTGTTTTGTTTTTTGTTATAATGTTGTGATTATGTTCCCCCTCAAAAACGAGATGACACATCTCAAGGGGTTAATCCTAATAAATCAGTTCAATAAATTGCTAGTTTATATCTCACAATTTGTACTTTTTTTCTCAGAAATGTGAGATATACACTCAGAACTGCAAGAAAGAAAAAGTGAGAAATCACTTCAGAAACAAAAAGTCAGAAAAGTGAGAAATATACTCAGAATTTACAAGAAAAAAAGTGAGATGTAATTGCGTGATTTATGAACTCGCAATTCTAACTGCATCATGCGATGTCAGAGTGATAAAGTCCACTCAGAAAACTCATTGTGTTGATCTCAAAAAGAGATGCTAATCACAAACGTGAGCTTAAGATGAAAAGGTTTTTTGAAAAGCACAATAAAGTTGCATTGCATTACAATATATATTTAAAATAGGAAAATAAACATGGTGACTATTTGTGTAATGTTGTGGTGTTCGGCCTCAGATAAATGTCACAGAGCTACTCGAATGCATTCATAATGATGTGCTTCAGATGAACGAATAATCAAATAACAATGTAATACAGCAGGCCTGTCCTCCAGCTCATGAAAGGAATGCTCTACAATCCACTCGGGATTCCTCCGAGAGCTTTAGGCTTTCCGAACACAATCCCTCCTGCTATTGTTCTCAGACAGAAGCCAACATTCCAGCCGTTGACTGACAGCTCCTTTCACCAATCACAGCTCAAACGACAGACAACACCTGCGTGCGATCTCCAATCAGAGAGCGGCCTCTAGGCCAGCGATCAGACCGATATGAAGCGCTCTAAAGCAGCTCAGGTGGAGGTTTACCTGAACGCAACACAATAAACTGAAGACGAGAACAAAACCAGGTCAAAACAGACAGACAGAGCCACTGCTGCAGGGAACAGAGGACCGTACAATCATGATTCCTCTGAAAAATCAACACAATACAAACTGACAACCATATGATATCAATGAGGAAAAGAGTGCTTGAAATAACATACTATTAAGAGGCCACTCATAATCATTAAATCGTGGCATACTATTGTTTAGCATGCTAGCGATCAGACCGATATGAAGCGCTCTAAAGCAGCTCAGGTGGAGGTTTACCTGAACGCAACACAATAAACTGAAGACGAGAACAAAACCAGGTCAAAACAGACAGAGAGCCACTGCTGCAGGGAACAGAGGACCGTACAATCATGATTCCTCTGAAAAATCAACACAATACAAACTGACAACCATATGATATCAATGAGGAAAAGAGTGCTTGAAATAACATACTATTAAGAGGCCACTCATAATCATTAAATCGTGGCATACTATTGTTTAGCATGCCGCATAATATTTGTATAATTCATAAAGTATAAACTTTATAGTATATACACTGCCGTTCAAAAGTTTGGGATCAGTAAGACTTGTAATGTTTTTTAATGCTCATCAAGGCTGCATTTATTTGATCAAAAATACAGAAAAAAACAGTAATCTTGCTAAATGTTATTACAATGTAAAATAATGGTTTCTATTTTATTATCCTTTAAAATATCATTTATTTCTGTGATGCAAAGCTGAATTTCCATCATCATTACTCCAGTATAAAGTGTCACATGATCCTTCAGAAATCATTCTAATATTCTGATTTATTATTAGAATTATCAACAGTTGTGCTGCCAAATATTTTTTTTTCAGGATTCTTTGATGAATAAAAAGTTAAAAAGAACAGCATTTATTCAAAATATAAATCTTTTCTAACAATATAAATCTTTTCATTTTAAGTTTGTTTATATTTTTATTTTTTAATATTTATATTTATCTTTATATTATTTTATAAAATAAAACTAAATAATTGTATTAAATATTTCATTTTCCTATTTATGTTATATTTATTTCAGTTAATATTTAGTAATTTTAGTACCTTGAAACATATTTACATAGTTACATGTTTAATTTTGCAAGTTATTATAATTATTCAGTCATTGTTCATTTCTGATCCTGTTTTTGTTTTTATTTATAATTGCCTTTAATTAAATTCTGTGATTTATGTCAAATAATGAGTCAAGATGATGTTACAAGATATAGTCAATTCCATTCACATTTTTTTCTATTCATTTTGAGTTTTAGTAATTCTTTGTGTTTTTTTAAACATTTCTATTTAGCTTAATTTATGTTTATTCAGTTTATATTAGTTTAGTATGATACACTATTGTCACATGACTTCATGGAACATTAAATTTTGCAAGTGGAACCCAGTTACAATTATTTAGTTATTTTTCACTTCTAATTTCTATCCCAGTGTTTTTAAATAATTTTATGTCAAATAATGAGTCAAGAGGATGTTACAAAGTGGTAATAGATCTATGCCAAGCTGAGGGATACAGTGTTACTGCAAAAATAGTATGAAAAGCAAGGGAGTACTAGAGACAGCTATTCAGAACAGAGCCTAAAAAGAGGACGAAGTGGAGAAAGTGGAAGTGACATGTCATGTGCCCAATCATGTGATGTGAGGGGGTAAAAAGGGGGTCATTTACGCAGTGCCCTAAAACACAGGAGCCGGATGAGGGACGGTCAGTAGGAAAAGACAGAAAACAGGCTGTGTGTGTGTGTTAGTTGTGCTGGACTTTCCCTCTGTTTAAATGATGCTGCGCTCTGATTGGTGGAGAGAAATGATGGCTGAATTCCACACGTCTGCAGAGAAACGTAAAGCAAAACACAATAAACACAGCGATACATGAACACACACGCACCCTCACACACAATCCAGCAGTCTGTCTGATCGCCGTTCAGTGTTATTTGTGACAGGTGAGCTGTCTGTGAGTGTGTGTGTGTGTGTGTGTGTGTCTGTCCTGCATTTCTCATTCACTGAACATTTAACATTCACCATGAGTGGAAACTACAACCAGAATGCCACCATCATAGACGGACACGGTTCACAAAGAGGAAGAAGCATGTACCAGGGACATTCTTTAAATGTGGTGCCTCTTTGACCTCATGACACAAAAAGAAAAAAAATTCAGCAGATATGAAATGAACATTAATATAATGTGGCATAACAGGGTGGAACGAGCAGGATATCATGATAGCATATCAAAATAATGTTAAATAATATTTGTTTTGTATATGACCGAATTGAATTAAAATGGCAACAAATGGAAATATTTATTAAAATATTTATATATATTATATATTTAAATATTTATGTATATACACACACACACACACACACACTACCGTTCAAAGGTTTGTGGTCGGTGAGACTTTTAAATATTTTTAAAAAGAAGTCTCTTCTGCTCACCAAGGCTGCATTTACTTGATCAAAAATACATTAATATTGTGAAATATTATTACAATTTAAAATAGCTGTTCTACTGTAATATATTTTCAAATGTACTTTTTTCCCCTGTGATGTAAAGCTTGATTTTCAGCATCATTACTCCAGTCTTCAGTGTCACATGATCTTCAGAAATCATTCTAATATGCGGATTTGCTGCTCAAGAAACATTTCTGATTATCATCAACGCTGAAAACAGTTGTGCTTTTTGTGTAAACAGTGATACGTTTTTCTCAGGATTCTTTTATGAATAGAAAGTTCAAAAGAACAGCATTTATTTGAAAAAAAAAATGTTTGTAACTTTATTATAAATGTCTTTACTGTCACTTTTGGTCAATCTAATGCATCCTTACTGAATAAAAGTATTAATCTATTTTGAACAGTATGTAAGTTCATTAA